AGTTGGTCCGCCTTTCTTTTCATACCGGCTGCCCTTGGAGCTGGGACTGCTGGGTCGCAGTTATCAATATCTATGGGCTCGCCCTGGCCGGCTGCACCCATAGTTGTCTTGACGTCAGAGAGATAGCACTCTCTTGCCGTCTTCTGGTCCCCGCTTAGGGCACCGACTGTACCATCATCCTTTTGAAATTTGACCAACATGAGGGACGGGATGATGACAGCCTTAGATGCGTTGAGGGTAGGACGGCCAAATATCATGTTGTAGGCGGACAGTTCCTCCACAACTAAAAACTTGACTATCATGTGGCGTCCTTGCCCCTTTTCACCCAGCCGGATCGGAAGATCTATGCTTCCGACCGGATGCACTACTCCACCCCCAAAACCGACTAGTGGGTGAGGAGCCTGGTGCATGTTACCGGATGTGTACTTGAGCTTGGTCAAGCACTGATAACTGATTAGGTCAGACGAGCTCCCGGTGTCTATTAGGATTCGGCCAACCTTCTGGTTGGCAACCTTGCATTCGATGACGATGGGGTCATCATGAGGCCGCCTGACCTTGCCCCGGTCCTTTTCAGAAATAAGGACCTCAGGAAAGATGTCTTTCGACGCCTGGCCCTCATCCACTGAGTTGACCAGCTTCCTGATGTTGTCTTTGGTGCCCCGGATGGTAGGACCCCCTTCGGCAAAACCGCCTGCTATTATGAAGATGGTCTCTTCATCCGTCTCGGAGTTTGCTGGGCCGGTTTTTGCCGCCTGCCCTTTCTTGGCCTGGGTATTACCCTTAGCCTTGGGTAGGTAGGATTTTAGGGGCCCCTTATCTGCCAGACGGTCCAATAGCCGCCTGAAGCTATAGCAGCCATCGGTGTCGTGGCCGACATCCTCGTGGTATTTGCAATACTTGCTCTTGTCCCGTTTATTCACGGGGCTTTTCATTTCAGCCGGTTTGTCGAGAGACATCCGGTCTTTGATTTCCAGGAGGATGGTGGAGCAATCTTTTGCGAACTCGTATTTGGGAGCATACGATTCTGACTTCCGCCTGATCTTCTGGGCCGGCTGTCCTGATCGGTCAGCTGCCCAGACCCCTTTTCTCTTTTCTTCCTTTCTTGCCGGCTGATGCTGTTGCCTGCTCTCTTTTTTGTCAGACTTTTTATAATCTGACGGCTGCTTGACAGCACATTGCTCCGTCGCCTGTATATAGGCTTCAGCTTCAATTAACGCCTCTTGGAGGGTAGCAACCCTCTTCCGGACGAGGTCAAACTTAAAGGTCGACCCATCCTTCAGACCTCGAAAGAAGTCTGTATAGGCCACTTTGTCTGATAGTCCTGGAATCTGAATTCTCATCAGATTGAACCGTCTGACGTATGACCGGAGGCCCTCCCGGTCGCCCTGTTGTATTGCCCCTAGGTCGAGGCTAGTCTTTTTGGCAGGAATATTCATTGAGAAATTTGACGTAAACAAGTACGCCAAAGTTCGAAAGCTGTTGATGCAACCGGCTGGTAGGTTACCAAACCACCGCTGGGCTATGCCCTTGAGGGTAGCCGGGAAGCATCGACACCAGACGGCATCATCTAACCCCTGGAGGTACATGAGGTTAGAGTAGGCCATTAGATGGTCTTCTGGGTTGGTGGTGCCGTCATAGGCCCCCACCAAAACATTCTTGATCTTAGGCGGCTGTGCCGCCTGGGTTATCTCTGGTGAGAACGCCGTTGGCTGTTCCCCCAAATTTAGCAGGCGCAGCTGCCAGTCCGTGGGTTGGAACGGCTGCTGCGCTTGCCCACCGAAAAGACCCGGTGACATAAAAGGGGATCCACCCAACCCATTCGGTGTGCCGAATAGGCCAGGCTGGATCACTTTGGGTCCAGACCGGGCAGAAGCTTCACCCGTCTGGCTCCCAAGGTTCGTTCTCGTACGCCTGTGTGAGACGTCATGGAAACTGTCCGGGAAGGTCGACGTTGAGGCCGACGCAGACGCCTGACCTCGCTTCTCTTGGAGAAATGTGCGGGCGTCTGAGAATGTTTTCTTGGAGCCATCCGGCTGTACGTGCCGGATGGCCTTTCGCAGCTCCCCTTAGGAAAACGGAGTCTGCTTGGATCAAACCTTAAGCCCTCCCCCTCCTTTGGCTTGGGATGAGGGGTAGGAACTCGTTCTTTGACCGCCTTCTTTCCAGAAGGCTTCTTGGCCGGCTGACCCTTCTTTGGAGTAGCTGACCGGATGAGGCTCTTGATCTCACCCTTGAAACTATTCATGAAAGACATGAGTTCGTTTCTTGTAACGGGGGCTGAGCCCTCCACCGTTTGGGAAATTCCAGCCGGTTGCCCGGCTGGGTTGCTGGGAGCAGCTTGGCTGATTTCCCGTTCTCTTCTATCTTTAGCACGAGGGTGCTTCATTCTGAAAGACCCATCCGGGGCCACATATGTTTCAATTTCGTCTCCACTTTCATGGTCCGTCTGGACCTCAGGCTCGACCACAGGCCGTTTGCCCTGATTCGGTGACACAGTATCAGAAGTCATCTTAGAAGTACTCTCCCCACAGACGGCGCCAAATGTTTCGGGGTTCTTTGATGTGTCCTGCGGGAGAGTTACAATTCCAAGAATGCCCTTCGACGCCTGTGCCTGCAAAATCACGAAGACTCCTGGGGGTAGGAGCTCCGCCTCCGACGATCAAGTTAGTAAAGATACGGGAGGTAGAATGCACGTAATGTAGAAGTTACTTCTCGCGTAATGGGAGAATTCTGCAATTAATATTGCTCGGGGTAAGTGTTTTTCTTTTTGAGGAGTATTCAATGTGAACAACAAATGTTCCAGCCCCCATTAATGAGGGTCCTTCCACTATTTATAGTGGGGAAGGGATGGTTTCCCTTTTAGGGTTTAGAGGACACGTGTCAGCAGAGGATTGGAGCCCTGCTGACCAACGGCTGGATGCCACGTGTCACTAGGCCATTGGGCCACGTGTTTAGGGTATTTTTACCCCAAACAGTTTTGTTGTAATAATGTCCAATTATGCAATTATAAATGTTCATTTATATATACACTTGTGTTTATGGAATTATAAGTTGTACATGCAACTTTTAATGATTATCACTGTTTTGTAGTTTCATTAATAATGTTCAGTTATGTAACTATAGATGATCATATATATTTTTACATATGGTAATTTTACTGTAATTGATCAAATGCATTATTGTAATTGACCATTATTGCTACTGTATTTGTTCATTTATTACATTTTTAATTATTGCAGTGGGAATAGAGGATGCTGTTATTTTTGAAGAAGCAAGTCACTTTGATTTTCGGAGGAAACAATTTCCTTCGGTAGATGATGCTTATGAAATATATAATGAGTATGCTTTTATGAAAGGTTTGGGATCAGAGTTAGGAGGAGTAAGAGGCGAAAGGATGGATCATTTTTTATGAAAGGATTTATTTGTTCTAATAAGGGGTTATAAAGATAATAAGTGTAGAAATATTAAATTCTATGAGTGACTTGATACAAGAACTGAATGTTTAACTTTTGTACAGTTTCCTATTGATCGTTAAGGTGTGTTTATGAACATATTCTAATATAGTTAGTGAATGATGGTTCAAAGTCGTAAAAAAATATTAGTATTATATATATACTATTTAAATGTTTGCTTTTGAACGATGTGATTTGTAATAATACTTTGGGAAACAAAAAGTTTATATCCTTCTTATTAAAATCAAATAGAAATTGTATATCACCAAAAATTAAACTATTGAATATTAAATATACAATTCAATTCTACACATATTGATGTTGCGCGAATCCATGCATTCTTGATTTCCTTATTTTTGTCGTCTGATCTTTCTTTTTTTTCCTTGCTAAATATCCACGATTCTTTGTTTAACTAATCGACAAAAACAAGATTTTTTTAGTTAGATTTGAGCAAGAATAAGTGTTGAAATGAACCAATTTTCATATGAATATGAAAATATAACAATTGAAATGATCGATATGGAAATGAATATATATTAATATATAAATGAACATATATATTTGTAGAATTGATCATCTATTAATATGGAATGAACAACTATTAATACAATAATGAACATATTTACATAATTGAATATGAAAATGTACATCTATTAATATATAAATGAACATGCATTAGTTTAAAAATGCCTATGAAAGATATCAATCGATGAACATGAAATATATACGTAAATAACACTTGAAGCTATCAATATGTGATTTATCATACATCCATCTGAAAAAAGACATATGTTGAAACTCAAAATTTAACCGAGCATGAAATATTTGAAGAAGATGACCAAAATATAAATATTTATCAAAATTCTAGTAATCGTATATTAATATGTGAAAACCATATACTTTTATGCGATTGAACATCTACCAAAATACAACCGAATATTCATCTAAAATCACTTTCCACTCCAAACTATGAAAAAGAATGACATTTATATATACAATGACTATGTAGTAATAATTTTCCACTCCAAACTATGAAAAAGAATTAACATTAATACAATGACTATGTTGTGATATATAAATGTAGTAATATATTTATATTAATCATCTGTTAACATGTGAATGATTGTATACTAGTATAATCAAGTTTAATTGCTTCTTAATGGGTTTTGTCTTCTTGTTCTTTGTTGTAGTTGCTGATTTCTTGACCATTGATTCTTGGGTTGTTCCCTTTGGACCTCCGGGTATACACTTGTATGAGTCAAGTCATACAAGTTCAATCAATCTTAACCTTTTCAGTAGAGACATAGAAGGTTAGTACAATTGTACAACCCTGGTAAGTCCAGCTTTAACATGTTTTACATGTAATAGATTCAAGTATTTCCTCGATTTAATTATTATTCAAGTGTGTCACTTAACATTTTCAATTCTTAATATCTCGTACACTTGTATGAATTTATTAATATGAACTATTATGAAATATGAATCAAAACACATCAAGGAATGAACAAAAGATTAATTCTTACATTCTCATACACAGAACAAGTAATGTTGCAAACTTGTAGTGCTTGTCTTTAAGGACACGAAACTCAAATACAGAATGCCATCAATAGTATCATATCATCATTACACGACATAAATTCCACAAAAGATGTAACCAAACATGAGACGATAAGATATCAAATCCGTACAGCGTGTAATGCAACACACAACGTGACAGAGTCACCATACAAACAAATTGTGATCAGCTATCTATTACATTCTCTGCTCTCGAATTGCAGCTCGATCCCTGACGTTACCTACAAGTATCATAGATATGGATTAGATTTACAACAGTTTGACATTTCAAAATTTTGCAATGGGCTTGACATTTAAATTAATTTCTTCCATTGACAGAAGAACAACAATTGAATTTTATACTTTGTAAGCAAAAGTTTAAAATGCTTAAAGGTTGATTAGAAGAGCCAGCTTGTAGCACATGTACTAGGGATGGGCGCAAATCAAAGATTACTATCTTTGGGTCACGAAACAGCGACAGTAACTGTTTCGTTACTGTCATTGACTAAGCCAAGCAACGGGGGGGGGGGGGGGGGGGGCGGAATCTTAATTAGGAATCAACACTTCTAATCCATTGGCTCAATGGGTGTATGATTGGTTGATGTATCTGGGAAAGGAATGTGAGAAGAATGATTTTTTTTTTACTAGTCTAGACTCTAGAAAACTAGAACCGAAAACAAATGAGGTAAGGAATAAAAATTACAATTAAAAATAAATAGATAACAGTTAAACACACAATAACCATTTGTAACATTAATAAATTCATATTTCATAATAGTTCATATTAATACAAATTCCACAAAAATACAAATAAAGAACAATAACTCTTCATAATATAAAGAAAGAAAAGTGTAAAGATAGTTAGTAAATTTACCTCTATTGTAAATTAACCCGACACTGTGAAGGTGATTCAACAACTCTGATTTAGGTACCGTAAAAGGAAAAGAGTTGATTCTTAATGCTAGTTCTCCATAGGTAGCTGAAAATGCAGTGGGAAATAGCGCCAGTAATTCGTCATCAAGATGATCAAAAGAAGAACTTTGGTGCTGCAAAATAGGGAAAATATGTTAGCTTTTTACTAAAAATAAAATAAAACAATTATATCTAAGATATTATTTTTATACCATTATTTTATAAATATTACCTTATCAAAATAATGATGATAACAATATCTGATATATTGCATCAACATACGATTGTGCGGTCCTCCGGATCTATTATATACCATTCGTAACGGATGATAACTAGCAACTGGTATCTTATTCACCCAGTTATCGACGCGATATATGGAGTAATTCATCTTGAAAACACTCCAAAACAGTGGAGAATGACAAATGAAGTAAGAGAGTATCCTATTAAAATAAAAACATAAATAACATGAGACAGTGTTTGGAAAATCTATATTTCATTAAATACATAGAATTTCTACTTGGGGTTGGAGGAATGCTTGTAAAATTAGGATGCAATTGTTGATGGCTTCTTGCAGAATAAGTGCGTGGTGGGAAAAAAAAAATCAATTTATGGTGGTTATAATGGCTTATTGGGCACAATTTAAAAGTCCCATGGTGTCAGTGTTTGGAACAAGTTAAATATTCTTAAGCACACATCATTGATGGGATTGTCCCTAGCAAAGTAGATAACTCAAGCTAGACTAGTCAGATTTGATGCTTGCTGTTATGTTAAAACAGTTGAGTTCATGTCAATAAGCATTGTTATGGCATGATTTATAGTTGGATTGGAATTAATACTCTTGTTGATAAAAGCATTTTCCAGTGGTTGAGAGAAATAAAAAATGAAGTTTAATGTTGCCGTTAGAAGCTAAGACAAGTTATGATTTGTTTTCAAGAATAACCAAATTTTGGTGTCATTAGAAATTCTAAATATTATATGAATTTCAAACAGGGAAATACATAATCACTTTTATATCCAACTAATTAAAACTCAAATCTAAACAAGATGAAGATGGTAACTTACACTACTTCTCCAACATCATTAGAGATTGACATGTTAGGCAACTCGTTAAACAACAAGATGTTACGATCACTTCTATAACCAACTGCGGCATCGTTAACGAAGTTGACAAATTCTCGCAAATCGTTACGAATTCCAACAACATCACCTACAAATAAAACACAAATTACTTTAAATGTAATACTACATTCCATTTTGTTTGAAAATTTTAATCTTTATTACAAACATAAATAAGTAATACCTTGATTATTGGGAGGATCAGAGAGCTTGAAAGAAGTTCCCTTAATGTATAATCAGTTACGATTAAAACCTAAGGGTGTTTGTTGTTGCTGGCATAGGGTTAAACTCTCAGCAATTTCCCTAGCTATTTGGATTAACATTGGCCCAGCAATAATAACATTGTTAATCGCATCTAATCTCCATAATCCACTACTATTTTGTATTTGTTCTCTAATCCAATCATTTAATTGAACCCCAACAAAATTACCGACGCACAAAACCAATTCACCTTGTTGGAAACCTACTACGGGGTAGAAATAACATGCATTTCTATTTCTCATCCTTTGCAAAGCCTCATTCTTATCCATTATTTTACAACTCATTTTTTTTTTGCTTATTTTCTTTCCCCTACATTCTAAAATTAGATTACAAACTAAAATACCATTTCCATCAGTCTCTCCAATTTCATAAGGAATATTAAATGTATATTCCTTATTTTTATAGAATCTCACCTTCACAAAAAAAAGTTCCACATCGATCATAAGATATCACAAAAAAAATAATAAATAAATAAAAAGGAAAAATTATACCAGTGAAGCTTGGGTAGTGATCCATACTTGTCCATAATAAATGTCTTTCTCTTTGGAAATAAACTGCAATTAACAAAATTTTTGTAAATAGATCTACATAATTCTTTAGCAAATAGTATTACAAGAGAATTTCTACAATATTAGGACAAAATCAGAACAAAATAGCAGCATTTGTTGTGAATGACAAAAAAAAAAAAAAAAAAAAAAAAAAAGAATAAAAAGCTCTTTAAGCTCAAAATAAACCATGCCATATTTCTTATGTTAATCAGAACCATTGTGAGTTGATTATTTTAACTAGAGAAGGATCAAAGTTCGCAAACCGGGAGCATAACAAAAATGTTTAACTTGTTTATATAAGAATATTAATTAGTGAGTACAATCGAATATGATTCATCACTCATCCGACCTCATTGCTTCAAACAACTCAAGAATAATTCATCATAATTTGCTTAGCCATTTCAAATTCTAATTCAAACAACTTGAAGCAAAAATTGCTATCAAACAACTCAAGAATAATTCATAATTTTCTCAGGCATTCCAAATTCTAATTCAAACAACTTGAAGCAAAAATCACACAAATCCACGGAGAAAATTAGTTCCATTTCACAAAACTCAACTTCAAATCTCTATAAATCCAAAGATTTAGTTTAATATTCAAACAAAAAGTTGTACACATATATACAAAATCAAAGTCAAAATTAGTAATCTGACCAAACCGTGAAGTATACTGTACAAAAACATAACAAAAAAATTATTACTAGTAAAATGAGACACTTTAGAAAGCACACGTGCATTGATTAATTAATTGAGACACTTTGCAGTAGTTTGTTAAGTCTAATTATGGATTAACAACTACTTAGGCATGCACATATATACGATGATTTAACACATTACCTCAGAAACTGCTTGAATAGAGGAGAAAGCTCGGAAACTACTTCAGTGCAGGAGAAATCTCAAAGGCCGATTCAATGGAGGAGAAAGCTCAGAAGTCGCTACCCAACAACACACACTCACTCGTAATTAGGGCTGGCAAAAGCTGACCCGACCCGACAACCCGACCCGAACCCAACCCGAAATAAATGGGTTTTGATAGAGATTTTCAACCCGTTTATGTAATTGGTTCAACCCGAACCCGACCTGAAGTTAAATGGGTCGGGTTCAGGTTGAAAATCCCAACCCGAAACCAACCCGCATAAACCCGTTTATTTAATTGGGTCGGTTTCAGGTCGGGTCAACCCGAACCCAACCCGCTTAACTTAAAACCCTAATTTTAAAATATGGGCCAAGCCCAAATTATCTAACCCTAATTCCCTCTTTCTCTCGCCGCTTTCTTTCACTCAAACTCTCTCTCTTCTCAGTTTCTCTCTCTTCTCTCCTCTCTTTTCTCTCTCTAACTCTTGAAGATTGAAATAAAAATGCTTGAACCTTGAAGATTGAAGCTTCATCTCAAACATTCTGAAGGTAATAATCCTATTATTCGATTTTTTATGAGTTTGTTTGCTCATGAGTCATTTGTTTATGCAATTTCCTTGATTTGGTTATGCAATTTTCAGATTTCTTTGATTTTTTAATGCGATTTTTTGCTATTATGGTTTATGTATGCTTTGTTTATGTGATTTAATCATTTAATGTTGTTCGTTTGTTATTTTCTTACTCTGCAATTTCTTTCGAAGATTTGATTTGTTATTTACTTATTTTGCGATTATTTGCGATTTGTTTATGCGATTTTTTGCCCTGATTTGATTTTCTTACTCTGCAATTTCATGAGTTTGATTCTTTATGTCATGACTCATGAGTTTATACTTCTGTTTTTCATGTTTTATCTTTTATGCCATGAGTGTAATTCTTTTTTTAATTTATTCACAGATGGCTAATAGCCCTAATCCTGATGAACCCATTGATCTTCCGGATTCTGATTCAGATGATGAAGTTTCTGATTCTCATCAAACGGAATCAAAGAAGAAAACCTCTAATGTCACCTCGCTGAATAAGCCTGGAATTCATTTCAAGCGCCAACGAAAGCTCACTTCAGATGTGTGGGCAAATTTTGAATTCCTTGATAAACCTGACGAACAAGGTAACATCATTTGCAAGTGTAAAAAATGTGGGCAGAAATATAATGCTGAAAGTAGGCAAGGAACTGGTAATTTAAAACGCCACATTAAGAAATGTAAAAAAAGGACCTTTAAAGATGTGGGTCAGATGATTATTGATTCAAGCAGTTCTGGTTCTATGATGAATAGGGTTCCTACAATTGATTATGATATTGTTCGTGAGATGTTGTCTATTGCTGTGGTGAAACATGATTTGCCTTTTCAGTTTGCTGAATATAGTGCTGTTAGGAAGTTGATTAATTACATAAATCCTGATGTTAAACTTGTGTCTCGAAATACTTTGAAGGCTGATGTTCTGAAAATGTTTAAGAGGGAAAAAGATAAACTTAAGGAGGAGTTGAGTGTAGTTAAGGGTAAAATTTCTCTTACATCTGATTGTTGAACTTCAATTACTACTGATGGTTACATGTCTTTGACTGCCCATTTTGTTGATAATCAATGGAATTTGCAAAAAAAAATTCTGAACTTTCGTTTTTTGCCTCCACCTCACACCGGTGTCCATATGTCTGACCATGTCTATGATTTTCTTAAAGAGTGGGGTATCCAAAAGAAAATCATGTGTATTACTCTTGATAATGCTTCCTCTAATGATGTGTTTGCTGATGTAATTAAAAATGAACTTGATTTGGTATGTGGGGGGGATTATTTCCATGTGAGGTGTTGTGCACATATCCTAAATTTAATTGTGCAAGATGGGTTAAAAGAAATTAATGAGGCTGTTGTTAAGGTGAGAGAAACTGTGAAGTATTGTAAAGGGTCTCAGGCTAGAAAGCAACGTTTTTTGACTTGTGTGGCACATGTTGAACTAGACTCAAGTAGAGGATTGAGACAAGATGTCCCTACTAGATGGAATTCAACTTATTTGATGTTAGAGAATGTTTTGTACTACAAAAAAGCTTTTCTTCATTTTCAAAAGGTTGATGCCAATTACATTCATTGTCCAACAAATGAGGAGTGGGGGAGAATAGAGAAGTTATTTAGATTTTTGAAGGTCTTTTTTGATGTGACAAATGTTTTTTCGGGTACTAATTATCCTACCGCTAATGTATACTTCCCAAATGTGTTGAAAATCCGTTTACTCTTGAAAGAGGAGCTTGAAAATTCTGATAACTTCATGCATAAGATGGCAGCAAGAATGAATGAGAAATTTGCTAAATATTGGACCAACTTTAGCATAATCATGGTTGTGGCTGTTGTTTTAGACCCTCGATTTAAGTATGAGTTTGTGGAGTGGGCTTTTAAGAAGGTGTATGGGGAAATAGAGGGTACTAATGAGTTGGTGAAGTTCAAGGAAAGGTTGGATTATTTATATGGTGCTTATGTGACTGAGGCTTCCACAACAACACCACGAACAAGGCGTCGTTCTTCTAGACAGCCTAATGAAGAGCAAGTTGATGTTGCTTCTGATTCTTTTATGATGGTAACTGTGAACACTTGCTTTTTGTTTGATAATCAACTTTAAATTCTGTTTTTTGTATGCTTTATTGTAATTTTTGTTTAAACATCTTTTAGGACTTTGATAACTTCTCTTCTAGCAAATCATATGTTGCTGCTAAATCTGACTTGCAAATCTACTTGGAAGAGCCATTGATTCCTCGTGCAACCAACATTAATATTCTATATCATTGGAAAACAAATGTTGTGAGGTATCCAATTCTTTCAAAGATGACAAGGGACATCCTTGCAATCCCTATTTCAACAGTAGCTTCAGAATCTGCCTTCAGTACTGGTGGTCGAGTTTTGGACTGCTATAGAAGCTCTTTGAAACCAAACACAGCAGAAGCTATCATTTGCCT